AGTATTTATGGAAGGTCCACTGTATAGAATGCATTTTGTTATGTATTTGGATGATACAAAGGCATATTATATATATAAGTAAAATCCTGCAAGGCCTGGCCCTCTCCTTCCTCCCCTACCTCCTTTCTAGCACTCTTGGCTTCCCACCAAATTGCTTATGGTTCTTTGCAGACCCCACACTGTGTCCTGCCTTTGTGCCTTTCCTCTTCCTGGAAGATCCTCCACACCTCACAGCCTCTTCTACTGGCTGGCTTCTACTCCCCAGTGAGTCTCAGCTTAGCTGCTCTAGTTTCAGTAGGCCTTGACTCGATCAAACTGGGTTAAGTAACTTTACTTTTTCCTTCTTTCCGTCTTTCCTTCTTTTTTTCTTTTCCTTTCCATTCCTTTTTTTTTTCTTTTTTTTTTTTTGGATGGAGTTTTTCTCTTGTTGCCCAGGCTGGAGTGTAATGGAGCAATCTCAGCTCACCACAACCTCCACCTCCTGGGTTCAAGTGATTCTCCTGCCTCAGCCTCCCGTGGGATTACAGGCATTCACCACCACACCCAGCTAATTTTGTATTTTTAGTAGAGAAGGGGTTTCTCCATGTTGGTCAGGCTGGTCTCGAACTCCTGACCTCAGGTGATCCACCCACCTTGGCCTCGAAAAGTTCTGGGATTACAGGCATGAGCCACCACACCCGACCCCTTTCCTTTCTTTCTACAGGGTCTTGCTCTCTTGGCCAGGCTGTAGTTCAGTGGTGCAATCACAGCTCATTGCAGCCTTGATCCCTAAGGCTCAAGCAATCCTCCCTCCTCAGCATCCTCAGTAGTTATGACTACAGGTACATGCAACTACACCTGGCAAATTTTTTTTAATTTTTATTTTTTGGTAGAGATAGGGTCTCACTATGTGTCCCAGTCTGGTCTTGAACTCCTGAGCTCAAGCAATCCTCCTCCCTAGCCTCCCAAAGTGCAGGGATTACAGGTGTGAGCCACTGTGCTCAGCTCCCTTTTCTTTTTAAGCTTACCGTATCACCACACTTACCATATGACCATGAAATTATAGATTTTGTGTTTGTCATCTCATCCCTTGACCCCTGACTCCTTACCATTAGGGACTGAACCTTATTCACCCTTCTAGTCAGACCCAGATTTTCCTCTTTTAGGAACTACAGTCTAGTCAGAGAGAGAAAGCAGCATGATCTTGTAACATGATTCCAACAGTGTGGGTGTGATAGATGCCAGAAGAGCAGTACAAATGAGGAAACTGAGGCTGTGATGACTTGTCTGAAGTCATTCTCAGCTTCTTGGCAGCTGGCCAGGCTGGAAATCTACCTCCAGCTGGAGGCATTAGCCTCGTAAGGAGTTTGAAGCCAACTCAGCCTTTCACCTCAGAGCCCGCAGCCTAAACAAGGGAATGTTCTGGATGACGAGGCTGCGAGGAGTAGTGAAAGGAGCATAAGACTGGGCACCAGGAGGCCTGGGTCTCAGTTCATGCTTTGTTCCACCTGTCCTCTTGCCTTCAATTCACTTCAGTCCATGACCAGAACCCACTGGCCAAATGGGCCTCCCCAAGATGTCCCACCTTTTTCTGAGCGTAAGGTGACTTTTGTCCTTCCCAAAGTGTTGGGAGCATTTGAGAGCAGGCCTTAAACCTGGCATAAACAGGCCTTAAAGAAACTGGCCATAAACAGAATATCTGTAGCACTGTGACATCCTCGTGATGGCAGTGACGCACATTGCAGAAGTTGTTGGTTTACTGGAGCCAGGGAAAGATCTAACCCGCCCTTGGGCGGAAGACCAATCAAAGGGTTTCTGAACCATAAACAATAGCATGAGTGACACATGACTTAACTACATGTTTCAGATGCAATAGATAAGCGAGCCAGAGCCTGTTTCTTGCCACTAAAGAATGCTTTGTTCCCTGCGAAGAATGCTTTTGGTTAAATGATGATTATCACTTGCTTGTTGTCAATAAATGTGTGGGTCAGACTCTGTGCGAGGCTCTCAGCTGGGAATGCTGAGGCCCCCTGTCTATCCCATACCTTTTTGCGCTCTATCTTCGTGTCTGTTTCTTAATTCCCTCAGCATCGCCTGGGTTGGGGTCTCTGCAACCGAGCTAGTCTCGACACCCAAGTATCTCCTTGCCAGTAAACTGCCCTTCCTTAAGATCCAGCTCTGCTTCTATCTCCTGAGTGAAGCCTCTTCATTTTCCTCACCAGGTGTGGGCTGAAGTTTTTTCTTCCCTCCTCTGAACTTCCATAGAAAAAAAATTTATTGGCCAGGTTTGGTGGCTCACATCTATAATCCCAGCACTTTGGGAGGGCGAAGCAGGTGGATCACCTGAGGTCAGAAGTTTGACCAGTCTGGCCAACATGATGAGCCCTGTCGCTACTATAAAAAAAAAAAAAAGGGCCGGGCGCGGTGGCTCACGCCTGTAATCCCAGCACTTTGGGAGGCCGAGGTGGGTGGATCACGAGGTCAAGAGATCGAGACCATCCTGGTCAACATGGTGAAACCCCGTCTCTACTAAAAATACAAAAAATTAGCTGGGCATGGTGGCACGTGCCTGTAATCCCAGCAACTCAGGAGGCTGAGGCAGGAGAATTGCCTGAACCCAGGAGACAGAGGTTGCGGTGAGCCGAGATCGCGCCATTGCACTCCAGCCTGGGTAACAAGAGCGAGACTCCGTCTCAAAAAAAAAAAACAAAAACAAAACAGAACAAAACAAAACAAAGCAAAACAAAAATAGGCTGGGCCCCTTGGCTCACACCTGTAATCCCAGCACTTTGAGAGGCCGAGGTGGGCAGATTACCAGGTCAGGAATTTGAGACCAGCCTGACCAACATGGTGAAACCCCGTCTCTACTAAAAATACAAAAATTAGCTGGGCATGGTGGCCTGCACCTGTAATCTGAGCTACTTAGGAGGCTGAGGCAGGATAATTGCTTGAACCTGAGAGGTGGAGGTTGCAGTGAACCAAGATCACGCCCCTGCACTCCAGCCTGCACTCCAGCCTGGGTGACAGAGTGAGACTCCATCTCAAAAAAAAAAAACAAAGAGAAAATTGATGTTCTCCTCTTAGGAAGCTGAATCTTGTCCTGCTTTACTATTTACTTCTGTGCTTATCTTGTTTTCCCCTAGTAATTTACCCCTATTATGTTTCAGCCTCTCAAGAGCAAAGGCCATATTGATTTGCGTAGCTTCCTTATTACCTAACTTATGCCCAAATATTTGTTTACTAAAAGAATGGTTCCCTCTTATCAGTAAACTGCAGTGGCCAAAGGCGTGAACTCTGAGCCACTCACTAGCTGTGTGACTTTGGAAAGTCACTTAAGCTTTCTGTGCTGAATGTCCCCAACAGTAATGGGAACAATGGTGCCAACTTCATGAGGCTGTGCTGAGGCATCCATGGGCACCTGGTCCATGCCTGGCACATGGTAAGCACTGCTGGTGTTAGCTCCTAGGCCAGTCCTCCTTCCAAATGTGTCAGACATGCGAAGCTGTGCTTGCTACTGAAACACTGTCGGGGAATGAGACATTTCCCCTCCCTGAGAGGCTTCTTCCCCGACCTCCAAATCTGCTCTGACCAATCCACTGATAAGTGGTGAAATTTTCCCAGGGAGGTTTTCTTGTCCTAAGATATTTTTGTGGATTACTTGGTTTGGGTATGCAGTTTACAGTAGAGTGTAGATTTACTTTTGAAACAGAGTCTTGTTCTGTCACCCAGGTTAGAGTGTAGTGGCACAATCACGGCTCACTATAGCTTTGACCTCCTGGGCTCAGGTGATCCTCCCACCTCAGCCTCCCAAGTAGGTGGGAGCACAGGCATGCGCCACCACTCACGTCTAATTTTTTTTTTTTTTTTTTTTTTTGAGATGGAGTCTCTCTCTGTCACCCAGGCTTAAGTGCAGTGGTGTGATCTTGGCTCACTGCAACCTCCGCCTCCCAGGTTCAAGCAATTCTCTGCCTCAGCCTCCTGAGTAGCCAGGATTACAGGTGCCCATCACTATTCCTGGCTAATTTTTGTATTTTTAGTAGAGACAAAGTTTCACCATCTTGGCCAGGCTGGTCTTGAAGTCCTGACCTCATGATCCAACCACTTTGGTCTCCCAAACTGCTGGGATTACAGGTGTGAGCCACCGTGCCTGGCCTGGGCTAATTTTAAAATTATTTGTAGAGATGAGATCTCTCTATGTTGCCCAGGCTCATTTTGAACTCCTGGGCTCAAGCAATCCTTCTGTCTTGGCCTCTCTAAGTGCTAGGATTACAGCCACGAGACATGGTGCCCAGCCTAGGTTTACTTATTTTGTGTGTGTGTGTGTGTGTGTGTGTGTGTGTGTGTGTGTGTGTGTGTTTTACAAGAAGGAATGCCTTTAGATAGCTTCCTGATTTTCAAAGAACCCACAGAGGTTTTGATATTGGTAGAGTTAATTAGAACTGGAATAGTAATGCCATTGGAGTTAATGATGATTAGGTCCAGGAGTTAAGTCAGCATCTTAGGATCAACATGGTTAACAACTCTATCTCCAGGTTCAAGCGATTCTCCTGCCTCAGCCTCCTGAGTAGTTGGGATTACAGGCATGTGCCACCACGCCTGGCTAATTTTTGTATTTTTAGTAGACACAGGGTTTCTCCGTGTTGGTCAGGTTGGTCTCGAACTCTCAATCTCAGTTGATCCGCCCGCCTCTGTCTTCCAAAGTGCTGAGATTACATGAGTGAGCCACCAGGCCTGGCCCTCAAACAGATGTAGATTCTTGTAGCAAACGTGCAGACTCAAGGTTTCAAGGTTACAAAGTTAACAATTCTCACAGTTATGAAAATGACCTTTCTAATAATGAAGGAAAAGCTCTTTGCCCCTTATAGAAAACCAAAAGAAACTGAAACACAGTTTTAGCAGGCCAAG